GAGGGGGGGGGCAGCCAGTTTGTTTTGATTAATGTGATACCGCTGTGACAGTGTGCGTCCTCCGATACATCACAACAACGTGTCCATTGTGCAGAGAACTGCAGTGGGGGGGGGGGCATCAGAGCGGGGTACTCTGTGGTAACACTTGTCTACTCCAGGTACTGACACGTGCAGCCGTCATCACCGTTGGTTTGTAGTCTAATGAGGCCGGCGCTGGTGTGGTAGCACAGATCCAGCAGGAGGCGCTGGTGCACGGACACTGACTGACGGAGTCTTGTTTTAGCGACTGGGCTTCGACACCAGGCTGGCAGACCAGAGGTTGAGAAACTCAGTCACCGGTCGGGCAACAGGTTGTCGTAGCAGCAGGAAGTGGTCGTCAATTTGAGATATATCGTATGAGTACTGGGCTGCAGCCCACGGTCTAATGTATCCTCCGGGTCACTCATCCTCCCGACGTGCCGCGCCGTGTCTCACAGTTTGGAACAATGAACGTCAGGCAGCACAGAACACCAGGACAAACAGTAATTACCCCGGGGGTGGGGGAGTGGGGGGGGGTGACGTCCTGTGACTCACGGCTGCTCGTCCTCCGCTCCCCATCCTGTTTCCCATCAGTCACCGCCTCTGGAACTGTTTCACCTTAATCCTAACGCTAATAATACTGAAGCAGTACTGCTAATTATACCACTAATAATACTGAAGCATTATTGCTAATTATACTGCTAATAGTACTGAAGCAGTATTGCTAATAATAGCGCTATCAATACTGAAGCAGTACTGCTAATTATACCGCTAATAATACTGAAGCATTATTGCTAATTATACTGCTAATAGTACTGAAGCAGTATTGCTAATAATAGCGCTATCAATACTGAAGCAGTACTGCTAATTATTACAGTAATAGTACTGAAGCAGTACTGCTAATTATACTGCTAATAGTACTTCAACACTGGACAGGTTCACGTGTCACTCGGTGAACCTGGTCAGGGATCCAGAGAACCTGGTCCTGGTACCAGTGATGGTGGTCTGAGTCTGAGGAGACCTGGTCCACCTGGAGGTGGTCTTCAGAGCTGGTCTCTGTTTGCTGCTGCTCACAGGAAGAGGTGTGTGTTGTATGGGGCATCTGTTCCTTCCTAATGCCCCCCCCACACACACACACCTCCTTCCCACCCCGATGCCCTGAACACAGATCTCTTTATGGTCGTCGGTCGGGGACTACTGGACCTGAGGGCAGGAACCTGGCTCTGAGACCGGTCTGCAGACACTTACTGTAAACTCAGCAGACAGGGGTCAGTTGGTTCAACCCGGGGGAGGGGGGGCAACACCGGGCCCGGTGCATTTTTTGACTGTAGAGAGGAGATGCAGTTGGATTGAAGTAAAGACGCAGGTGTGTTTGATCAGGAGTGTGAGTACTGCAGTACTGAAGTACTGCAGTACTGAAGTATTTCAGGTCCAGTCCACAGCTGAAGAACAGATTAGAACAGATTATAATCCCTGACTGAATCAACCTGTGATCCTCTCTGTGGACCCACAGAGCTCCAGGACTGACGGGCAGCCCGGTGGTCTCGGACCTCTCCCTGATCCGTCTGTCGCCCGGAGCAGCCGAGTCTCCTCTGAGTCCGGCTCATCCGTACGTCAGCCCCCACATGGAGCACTACCTGAGAGCAGTGCACGGAAGCCCCACCCTCTCCTTGATCTCTGCTGCCCGAGGGCTGAGCCCTGCTGAAGGTGAGTGTGCCCCCCCCCCTCACCCCGCCCCCCCGTCCACCATGTCATGGTTGAACATCATCATCAGCTCCATTTCTCTCTCTGTATCTACGACCCTGTGAAAATGTTTTAATAAAGCGTTCCCATTTACTGCCCCATAATATTGTTGTCTGAAGTATGGCGTTAACTAGTTAACCTGCTAACCAGTTAACCTGCTAACCAGTTAACCTGCTAACCAGTTCAGATTCATGTCTTTATTTCCCCATCAGTGACCCATGAACACCTGAAGTTCAGCCTGCCCCCTCCTCCGTCAGGAGCCCACCCCACAGATTATTACCACCTCCTGGCTAACCACGCTCAGCGCAGCCCCTACAGTGATCTGCTGATGCAGAGTGGAGCAGCAGCAGCAGCAGCAGCAGCAGCAGCCGGCGGCA